GGTCAGCGTTTTTCACTCCCGAATGGTATAAGGAAGAAGATGGCAGGAGAGGCTTGAAGTTATTTTTCATACACGTAACCCCGAGCAAAAATAAAGATGCTGCATTTTTTAAGTATAGAAATTGTCTCGCCGCTGGAAGACAATTGATTTCCGTCGCAATGTTAATAGAGAACGAAAATCCTTGTGTGAATATTGAGAATTAACAATTGTGTCGTAACACAGTTAACTGTCGTACGATTAAGCAAAGTGATACGATTTTGAATATATTCTTCAGGAAGTAATTTGAACTGAATAAAAAAAGAATGTTGTAAAATTCAATTTTAGGATATTTTTCTATGTCCACTCACATTCTATTTTCTATGTCCTTCCCCTCCCAGATTATTTATATGTCAATTAATTTAATACAAGTGAACAATATTTTTCAGCATTAATATTTTTATCAAAACAAAATGGTAATGTTATTTATCTATTTTTCTTTAAGTTGTAGCATAATTTCAATAGTATTATAGTAGATATTATAATAATATTATATAATAGATTAAGGAAAACGAACTAATAAATATGCGGGAAAGTATATTTTTTTGCTAGGTGTTTTCGGTATTATTCCGTTGTCGCAGTTCCGTTGTTACTTTTCCGAATGATGTGATAACTGTCGTGATGATACTTTGTGTTAAGATAATAGGTTTCTCAAGATATGTATCAGACAAGTGTATTGTCACACGACAAAGTGATTTTATCTCGTGAAAAGGTTTACATCAGATTTCATACTCTGCCAACGATAGTGATCCGAAATAAGCGAGTCTAGGACAAGGTAGATGGAACTACATATTGCGGGTCTGTTCCTAATTGGACGTTAGAAGACAGTAAAAGGTTTCGTGACACTCGACAGTAATTCTTCTTCACGCGCTTTAAATTTTGTGGTCGCGCGGAAAAAAGTATAACATTTTGAATGTGTAATTTTAAAGTTGCATTTTCCGCATCCGTCGATATTGCAAAAGCGTGATTTCACTCCATACATATAATTCGATAAAATTTTGCAACCGCATGCTGTCTATTTTATTCACATTTATTTATAAATTTATGCAATTTGATTTGTAAGTAAGCAATTTTTTATATTATATTCTTTTATATAAAATTATTTCAAGTTAAATCAATAGACATTTTCATTTATTAGCTATATAACTATAATACCGAGAAATTCACTATATAACTAAATTCTTACTCAATAAGACTTATAACTGACATAATTTGTCGAAAATGCAAATGTTACAAAATTTTGAGTAAGTCAACAATACTGATATCAACAATTATATATGGTTATTTATATTATTTGATAATATTAAATAAAGAATTTCTTGATTGGTAATACGTATGCCAGATTCTCATCGTAAATGTATTTCCGCCCGATAGTTAGCGTCGCTTTATCTGTCTGATTATGTGCTGTCACACACACACACACACACACACACACACACACACACACACACGCGCGCGCGCGCGCGCGCTCTCTCTCTCTCTCCTC